GATGAGTGTTCTTGTGGGATATATGCAGTACACACATATACATCATTTGTTTGATTGAAGTAATCTTTGTCAAGTTTACACCAGACTGTAAACTGAGAAGTGTTTTGTAGTATAGTTGTTCCTGCTCTAATATTCTCTTTAATGTATATACTGATTCCACCAGAGTTTCGCCATGCTTTTTTGTTCTTCTTTCTGGTCTTATGGTAAGCATAAAATCCATCTGGTTCTGGTAGTAGGTTGCATTCATTCTCACTTAACCATGTCTCGGTGAAGCCGTAAATGTGGTGATTTTTAATTGTATTTTCAATATCTATAGTTCCTCTTGTTTTATTATCATTGTTTATAGTTGGTGCATATTTATATCTCAGGCCAGCCACATTCTAGTGACCTTTAAAGAATAGAGATTGTTTGAATTTATTCATTCTTGTCTTCATTGTTGGTATATGGTCTTCTTTGGTGTATCTTCTTTGGTGTACTGTTGTAATGGTTGTCCTGAACACCTATGTATAGTTGTCTTTCTAATTCTCTGAGTCTTTTCAGGATTTCGTCATTGTAGTTTTGATGTGTATCAATCAGTGATTTTTGTTTCTGCCACTCATGTCGTTTGTGTTCTTTGGAACTTAGCCTATTCTCAGGTTTGTTCTTGACCACCTGGCTATATAATCTTCTTGGAAGTTCATTTCTCCTCAGTGGTAACAGGGTTGTATTGTGTTGGTGTGGAGTATGTGCTTGGAGTGGATACAGTGAGTTGATACCTGCTTTAACATTGCTGATGAAAGTTGATGTGCCGTAATGTTTTCCAAGATGAATTCCATCATACTTCAGCATGTGTTCTTGGATATTATCCATTTCTATATACACTAAGCTGTGTTTTTGTTCACATGTCTTGAGATAGTTTTTGAATTCCCTCATTACAGGTATTATGCTCTGACTCCAATGTTTACACACACCACCACAGACGAAAATTTTGGTGTTTTCTCTTTGGCTGTCTCCAGTAGTTGTTTTTCTGTATGATGACTTGGCTTGGGAGACCTTGGTCGATGTCATTTCCACCAATGTTGAGTGTTAAGGTTTTCAGTTTATCTGGAAGCCTGTTATCTTTGAGTGCTTGATCAATGCTGTCTATTGTTGTTCCACTATATGTGAGAAATAGCTGATTCATAGCAAGGTGTTTCTTCAGAATATATTTTGATTGGGAATCACTCATTCCTAGATGTTCTACTTGATATGGTATGCTTCGAGGTCTGAAACCTTTATATGGTGGTCTTCCTGTATAACTTCTTGTTTGTTGTTCACATCTGGTATTACTGGTACTTACTTCCTGGTTTGATGTTATTCTCTTCTGATGATCTATAGAAATACTGGATTGTTTCTGTTCTGTGTTGTGGTCAGCTGTTTTTATTTGTTCAGTCTGCACCATTTTGTCTTTGGTTTCCTTGCCTTGTTGCCTTGTATATAGTTGAGCGTCGTCTTTCATGGTTTATAATTTGCTGCATAACTGGGATTCTCTCTGTGCAGTTTTAATTATGATATTTTTCAGTTCCTCCACTGTTTTTGACATGTTTTCTTTATCTTCATCAGGTTTCTGTTTTGTTGACAATTTTTGTTTGAGATGGTCATTGGTGATTTGAAGTTCATTGTTGCTGATAGTGAGTTGATTTAGGTTAGCTTGTAGCTCAGCTATTTTTTCATCTCTTTGTTTCATTTCCTTCTTTAGTTGTTCAATTTCAGTTGTTTTCCTTCGCATCTCCTTTTCTAATAATTTGTTGGTAGAAGATCGATTTTCTTCATTTTGTGATTGAGTCTGTAACTTCGTCAACATTTCGTTCAGTCCCTCAGATATAGTACCATCAATCTGGGCTAACAGTGATGAGTTCTTTGTCTGGTAGTCTTCGATTGCTGTTAGGATATCTACTGTGGATGCTTGTAGCATATTTGGCTGTCTGGTTGCATTGATAGGTGTGTTGGTGTAATTGGTATTCACTGGAATTTTGGTTGGTGTTTCATCTTTTATGAGATAGTCGTGTGCTGGTGATGGCTTTTGTTGTTCATCTATAACTGCATGGTGATATCTTAGCTTGTCTTTTCTTTAGAGTTGTTTTTCCTTGATTTGTGTTTCCTCCATTATCACCAATTTTATTGTCTGAGCCAATCACTGCTAGTTCATATTCATCAGGGTTGTAACGTGTGTAATGTTTTCTCTGGCGCAGTGTTCGTTGACTGGGAGCAGAAGTTAACATTGCAGAGTCTGTGACTTTTAAATTTAGATTAAGTAATTCTTGTAAATGTTCAAATAAAGTATGACCTTCATTTAATATCCATGAGTGATAATTATTTCCCTGAATTAGTACTGTTCCATTGTTATATACTTTGATGCTAACTCCTTCTTTATCTAAGCATGGAGCTAAAAAAAGAAGGAGAGTGAACTCCCTTTGATGCTATTGTTACCATGACTTCTGCCGACTATTTTGTCAACAGATAACACTTGACGGGTTTATGGGGGGATTACTGGACGTGAATATTTAATTAGTCATGATCGGACGTTCTCGGATGAGTTCGGTCGTTATTACAAAGCAGGGTGAGGGACGAAAAATTTTTTTAAAACGACTCAAGTAAGAAAAAAACATGGCCAGAATTACACAGTAACTTCTAAATTGGTGATGTGTAATACACAAGTAATTGTGATGGAATCAATGTAGTAGGGAACAAAGTATCGTTAACTTCCAACCCGCCACAATATAACTATTCCCTATCCCTTAATATAAGTTATCAACACAAATCAAAGCAACGCAACGCATCATGTCAAATTCAATCGGCGATTGCCAGTTTGGCCGTGATATGCCGCTATTGGCACCTACCCTAGCATGACGTAGAAGAGGTCAGCTTACTATTTAACTAAATTTCGGCGTCCGCAGGAAAAGATTTTACGAAAAAAATACAATTTACCGGAGCTCAAATTTAACGCGTCGTTTATCCAAAGCACGTGTTGTATATGAGGGCCCACACAGGAAGTAGGACAGATGAACAGAAATGAAAAACGTGACTGTGAATTTGGCCATGGGAGCTCGAACTTCAATTCAAGCTTGTTGGAAAGTACATGGAAAACACTATATATCGGTGGTAATTTTATCGTCTGCGGCCAAGTATTTTATTTTAAAATCAATTTCTTGTGAGCAATGTTTTCGACATTACGAGAACCACATACATTGTAATAACTTGCTGAAAACCCGTCCGATTTCCATGACTCAAACGCAGAACTGACGACACTCTTCCGTAATTACTGCTACGCGCATGTTCACCGACCTTTGATGTAAACTGCGCAGAACAAAAATGATCGTCACACCTCAGGAAGGCTGTGACGGCTGAATAATCAGTGTGACAGCAGCCAGCAGAAGTCATCGACATGAAAGGCGCGTAAACACAAAAGAATAATCAGCTTAAAACAAAAGACTCAAGTAGGATTAAAACCAGTCCAGTCTCCTTCTTTTTTAGCTCCATGATCTAAGTGTAACTGAACACTTTTCTCATTTCCCTTATTATCATACTAGTGTTTGCCTACTGGGTAAACTGTATTTAGTGATTTAATCCAGATATCTTTCAGGTTAGGTTGTGATTTTATTGTAACATTGCAAGTATTAAATGTTATAGTAACTTCACTGTTAATGTATTTTTCTATAAATTCAGTAACCTTATCATTAACTTGAACACTGACTATTTCTTGTTTAAAACTCATTGTTTAAAATTGATTTAAGTACTTGAATAAATAAACTGTACAGTATACTAATCTTCACAAGTGGTGTTAGTCATGTGGATTATGTAACTACCTGAAATACACTGTACTCTTTGATAGACTTTCAGTAACTGAGTAACTTTTCACTCTTAAGTAATTTTAAACTATTGAGTTTCCCTACATTTAAGTTAAAAATTCTAATCCAATCCGACCAACCAGTTTCCGACCGGTAGTTCTAATTCAAACCAGCCCCATGTTCAAACTAACTAGTTTGAATTAAACCTTAAACTTATGCTTATAAGTAGTAAAGTAAATAAACTATCACTATCAAACACTGAGTACAGCATGGGAGACCTAAAACTAAACTGAACATTTAATATTTAGAAAAATAACTGCTCATTTTAAGCTAGAACTATTCCCTAATGATTTACATATCAGAAAATGCATGTTCACCTCCCCGAGTAGTACAATGGAGCCAAATTACACGCTTCAACAACAGAGTGCATAAACGATGCCTAGTTTTTGTGCTTATCTGCTGAACTATATTATCATAGGATGCAGTCATAACACCCCACCCTATTCCTAATGCTACCTCAAATAAAAACAAACAAACAGAAAAAAGTCATTGTCAATGACATATCCCTGCCCAACTTTTAGTAATTATTTACATTCATATGACTGACATGATACAAAGTGGAGCCAGTTAATTTGTGGGATTTCTTCCTTTATTCGCCCATGACAATTGGACCAGTTGTTTTCAAAAAACAAAACAAAAAGGCAAATGGACGACGATGAACAATCATCTATATGAAACAGCTCTGTTCTGTCATCTATGATAACAGTGAAGCTAAAAAAAGAAAATTTTATAAAATCGCTAAACAAAATTATCACAATAACCCAACATGCTTGATGTTCATACAAATTTTTTATTGAAAATCTGCCTATACATTGGTTAGGCTAATAACTTTTTCAAGGCCAAGAAAGCTAAAACTTATAGACTTTAGATGGAACTGCTGCAGAGATCTTGTTGTGAGCCAGACTTGTTTCATCCCTCAAATAATGTTCCATTCACTCTGGTCGTTACGTCCATTGTTCACCTGACCTATGTAAACAATGGTATTTGGTACAGTGGATGTGATGACAGTGAGAACTGAAGTTTTTTGGGCAAAATTAATTAAGTCTTATAGATTTCTCGCTCTCAAAGAAATCTCAGCAGTCATTTACATCTAAGGTATCTGAAATGCAAACAACGATTGACCCCAAAATTGTATTTTCACATTGCATCATGGGATAGGCATGACAGGCAAACAGCAATAACAAAATATAAAA